CAAGCGCTGGCAGGCTTTTCTCACCGAGCCCGGGCCTGAGGAGTGCACAGTGTGCCGCCAGCACACACTGCAGCCTCCGCCTCTTTGTCCCCGCAGCCCCTCCCAGCTCAGGGCTGAGAAAAAGAAACGCATTTCCATACGCCCTGAATGGCCCTTTGGACGCGTGAGTGGCAGGTCCGCCACACCTCTCCCGGGTTCCTCACTGAGGCGGCCTGACTGCTCTGCTCGCAGGTGCAAGCCCGCCAACCAGGGGGAGAATTAAGTTTTTAAATGGACTGGAGGACAAAGGTGTAGTTTTGCCAACTGTTAAGCAGAGAACAAATGTAATACTATATCCCAATAGCTTGGCCTCATGCAAAAGCCTTCTCCTTGTCCCAGTGGCCACAGGCAACCCTGGGTAACTGTCCCCGGTCCCTTATTAATGGCACTAATCAAAGCACCAGTGTTGGGTGAACCTAAGTGAGTGACAGCATTTAAGATGTTTTAAGCCTCTCATTATTCCCAATGCACCAGTAAACATGCAAATTACCGTTTGCAGAACATAGGGAAATACGCAGTTCTGCTAAGCCCCCATCCACGTAGCTCTTTTTAAACCACAGCAAACACAAAACGGAAAAAGGCTCTGGTGGGGTTTCAGATAAGACTCCATTTTACGCGTGTTCGGTAACAGATTGACATGTTTTTGCACAGCACACAAGCTCCTGTCTCCTAGAGATGCTGGGAACCGTCCCAGTGTGACCACAGCTGGCATTTCCTGACCCTGTGCAAGGCCCACCTCGCCCATGCGCCATGCGACCCTCAGACTACAAGGAGAAGCATCATCTCACAGAGTCACCTGGATGCAAAGACTGGCAAGCAGGAAGGAGGGAACGGACGGCGAGGGGCCACAATATGCCTTTCATTGTCATTTCCCTTAAGCATTTTTAAACTTCACCCCCGGAAGAGGCAGGCAGAAATACACGGCACCAGGGTGTCTTCCTAACTTGGGAGTTTTGCTTCTCATGGTAAATAAATGGTTAGCAAGCCAGTTTCCCCTTTGTTTTTGTTTTCTGTTAATCCTCACCAGAGGATATTTTTTTTCCATTGGTTTTTTAGAGAGAGTGCAAGGGAGGGAGGGAGTGGGGAGAAAGAGAAAAAGAGAAAGAAACATCAATGTGAGAGAGACACATGGATTGGTTGCCTCCCACACTCTCTCTGACCTGGGCTGGGGATTGAACCTGCAAACACAGGTACATGCTCTTGACAGGGACTAGAACCTGAGACGCTTTGGTGCAAAGGACGATGCTCAAACCACTGAGCAACGCAGGCCAGGGCCCCTTTGTTTTTAAATAAAGAACGGTTTCCTCCTTAGGATGTTTGTGAACTTGCACAGCAACACTGAAAAATAATGCTACAAAAACTTACAGCCCTGTTGTTAGGCTTTGCCTGGGGAACCCAACTCCAAAGAACCTATCAGCTGGGCAGAGGCGCACGTATTCCCTTCCTCGTGTGGAGACAGTGTTATGTGATCATGACGAGAAAACAAATCACAGGCTGTCACCACGCTTGTTCTCTCACCTCGGACACTACCAGGGGGTCCAGGCAGAAAACAAAAGTTCAGTCAAATTCTGCTGCATTTCAAAATCAAACACTTGAATATATATATATATATTTAGATCTTTTAAAAAAGCTACATCCTGTAACCAAAGCAACAATGACAATATAATTATAAGTGGACCAATGCACCATGCAGGCAATTTTATATTGTTACTGGATTTTAAATGAATGAGAAACAGAATAGAACTCAAAAGACAGGGGAGTTAGGGGGCAAGAAAAATAGTGAAACAGGATGGCGAGGACTGTTGGGTTTAAGCCTGCTCCAAAAATCGGCAGGCTCCACTGGTCCTTCTTCTGGTTTATTACACCCACGTTCTTGGAAAAAGAGAAGGTGCTCACTAAAGAAGAGGTGGAGACCAGGATGGGAGGGGCAGGAAGGGAGAGGTGAGAGGTAGAAGGAAGAAACCAAAAGCTTTTAGCCCTGGTCTAAGCCCCAGATCTTCCCGAGCTAAGGTGAAGCTAGATAGGACGCTTTTCATTACAGACCATCAGACATGTCACACAAAGATTACATATATTAACCAAAGACTGCATGTAGTAATCTGCCATGCTGGTCCATAGCATGGATGTTTACAGTCCTGAGCACTGGTTATGAAGAGGGTTAGCTCCATTTCTGAGCTCTATTTACACAGATGTTTGCATGCATCTATTCATTCATTCATTCATTTGGTCATCTGGTCAATGAGGAGAGTGCTTGTTGTAAGCCAGGTGCTAGGAACCGAAAGACTACAACCCATAAAATGCAGACTCCAGTCCAATAAACAGAATTAAAAACTGACGCGTGCTGTGAGGAGGTTGTGAATGTATGTTATACATTCCAGTGTGGGTGTGAGGAAGTGATGCTCCAGGGAAGTGACACCTGAGCAGAGCTGAGCAGAAAGGGTTTCCGGGCAAACAGCACAGCTATGCTCACGCCTTAGAGTAGAAGACACGAGGACAGGGCACAGTGCGAGGTCTGAGAGGCAGGCAGGGGCCAGACCGTGTGGGTGGAACGGGCGACTGTCAAAAGGGGGATGGGGAGTCCTTGAAAAGGGATGCAGAGAGGCACATGGCCTAATGCAAGGTCCCTGGCTGCTGAGCCCAGGAAGGCTGGAAGAAGCCAGCCGTCTCATAGGGCAGGTGTTGGCAAACTTTTCCCGTGAAGGGCCAGACAATAAATATTGTAGGCATTGTGCGCCAAGAGGAGAAATCATGGATTTTATCTAAGTACTTTAAAAGGAAAAACAAAGTTCCATAAAATTCTTATTGATGAAACAAAAAATAGAATAACAATGAAGAAGAATAATAATCATTGAGTACAATTTTAACACTATAGGTTGCATAGAGACAAAAACGGAATTTTGTTGTTGTTGTTGGGAGGAATAACAAGTTGTTTAATTGGTGTTCTGCTATGGCAGCATAAAAGCAGCCATAGACAATATGTAAATGAGTGAGCATGGCTGAGGTCCAATAAAGCTTTACTCATGAACCGAAATTTGAGTTTCATATAATTTCATATGTCACAAAGTATTATTTTTATTTCAACCATTTGAAAATGTGAAAACTATCCTTAGCTTACAGGCTACACAAACACTGGACCATGGACTTAAATGTCTTTCAAGAAAAAGAATTCCCTAATAAAATTTTATCAGAATTAAAAATTCTCTTCTGATCTCTGCTATTACATATATTACATAGCTAATTTCATTGTGTTTTTAATCCACCACTCCATGTCTACTTTCCATAATTGGCATAGTTATAAATATAATTTTTAATTACCACTATGGCATAATGCAATTTTTAATTACCAGCATGACCTACCACATTTCACACAGTGCTCATAAGATCGATTTTTTCACTAGAATAAATGGCATTGCTGTGCACATCCTTGGATAAATTCCTTTTGGTTCCTTTAGGATTAATCTTTGTATCAGCCTCAAAAATAAAACTACTGGATTTCCAGGGGAAAAGTATGATACGTTCAAGACCACTGTTTTCTGCCAGAGAACACTCCAGAAAGGTTCATTGAACACTGAGTTCCAGGTATTTGTGTCTCACCAGCAAAGTTTTTAAAAAGGGCTTATTTCCCCAAATCCCCAATAATGAAGGTTTTGATAAGTTTACTTATTCTGGCGAAGTTTACGGGTGTGTTATGGTGTTTGAAGTGATTATAAGTTGCATTTCTTGGTGCTAGCCATTCTGTGCAAGATCCCTATGACAGTTTCATGTATGTTTCCTTTACTTATAAACTGTCCATCTCCTTTATCCCTTGTGCGGTCAAGTTCAGCAGTGGAACTTCCAACTGACTCCTACACTTTCTATACCCTGGTCAGAGAGCTTTCATATGGAATTCATCTATGTGATTTCTTTCCATCCTTTGCAGGGCAAGGGCCAAGTTTCAGGCAGGTCTAGGTCCCTGGCAATTCAGATACGGAGGGTTTGCAAAGGTAACATCATAGGGGGTGTCCAGGCACACTCGTGCTCTCCCGGTAGCCTGTGGCCATGCATTGGGGACCTCCTAACCAACACTGCCATAGTCACGTCATCCGCACACCTAAGGTCATGTCATCCACACCTGGGGAGCGGAATGCATAGCGGGGGAGGATGGCAGGTGAGGCTCAATTCCTGGCTCAGCTGACTTGGCTCATAGCATCCCTACCAGCCCTGCCTCTGCGTGCCGTATCGCCATGGCATCCGTATCTTCCATCTCCCACTGAGAACAGGAGCCATCTGTTGCTAAGCACCCTACAGGGCACAGAAGAGCCCTCCACGACAGAAAGGATCTGGCCCCAAATGTCAGTGGTGCCAACGCTGAGAATTCCTGTTCTCAGACTAAACAACCACCCTCTCCATGCCTCTCCTACCCTACGCCCTGACCAAACTATTAAACCAAGAGAGAGCATCCGGCAACACAGATGAAATGGCCTGGCGTGGAGAGGGACATTTCATTTAGAGATTTCTATTTCGTTGTGGCGTTTCGTAGGACACTTCCCTGACGTGGGCCCAGCACCAGGCAACCGAAGCCCGAGCTATCGTTGCCACCATCCAATTACACACTGGAACCTGACTTTGCGGCACGCCTCATTGGCTGCACCCTTCAGAGGTTTCCAGTGAGAGGGAAGAGCCGATTAGGGAGACCCAGGAAGCCGGCACGGAGCAGCAGGAATCAGAGGAGAAATTACCTAGAGGTCTGTAGACAGACGACACTGAGGTTGAGGGTGGGGGTGGCCGAGGACTCGGTAGAGAAAGACCTGGCCAGCCTCTTTGGGAATCAGACCCAGGAGCCGCCAGGACCAGCTACCTGAGATGCCACCTGTCACAGGGAGCTCCGTGGTGGCTGGTTCCGAACATGTAAAACCTTCTACTCAAGTGTATTCAAAGCAGCTTATGCGGGATAGTCAATGAGACAGAAAAACAGGCCTTACCGGGGGTGCTGATGGCGGGGGAGGGGGAGGAGCTCCCAGAGGCGGGGGAGGTGGAGGCAGAGGAGGAGGTGGAGGTGGCGGTGGCACTGGCATATGTCACGGCGTTGGTGTCTCTTGCTTGTGAATGGTCCCAAGAGAATGGCTTCTGCTCTGAAAAGGAGAGAAGAGAGTTTTAAACGTGAACGTCTTTATTCATGCACAGGTACTTCATGTCATGCAGACATACGGATATTATGGTTTCTTCCTTTCTCTCTTTCTTTCTCTCAATAAATACGGAGTGTCTATTGTGAGGCAGGCATTGTGCCCAGTGCTGGAGAATGAAAGAGCAGCCAGATTCTGGAGAGAATTGGGTGACGGAACTGATAAAATGCAGCTATTTCTGTATCAAAATTAATAGAATACATAAATAGCAACACCTCATTCCATGATCTTTCCAAATAACGGATTTCTACCTCCTTCGCATTACACTTTTAGTTTTATCATCTGACGCATTTAAAAAAATATTCTGCACATGTTCCCCGTCCCCTAAGCAGAGCGCACGGAATGAAATGTAACCTTTTCTGCAGGTTGCGGGCACCATGTTACTCATGGCGCCAGCCTCAAGCAGGGCCCTAAAGGGCATCACTCATTCTCCTGCTCCCTCCTCTCCCGGCAGCTCTTACTGTATTGCTGTCCCTCTGTGGCTTCTATACAATCATCTGGGTGCGGGCACGACACTTCTCTGCAAAAAGCGTCATAACTGGTTTGCTACATAGAGGGCTTCTTGCCACCATTCTGCAAACACACTTATGTTTCACACTTATGTTTCAAACAGTTCATATTGTAGGACACCTGAGCTCCTATAAGTGTGTGTGCGTGTGCATGTGTGTGCGTGTGCATGTGCGTGTGTGTGTGTGTGCGCCCTAGAATCCGTATCAAGGCACGTGGCAAAGGCTTAAAACCCACACTGAAGGCAAGTCCCACAGTTTACAGGAAGGAGGAAAACCTATGTGAGACTCTAAACACAATTAAAGCACCAACAGAAATAAACATCAAACCTGCACAGGGGTAAATTTGTGTTTTGTGGTGTTTTTTTGTTTGTTTGTTTGTTTTGTTTTTGTCTCTGTAGTCACTGGAAGGTCAGAACAAGGCCTGTGCCTGCTTCTTCAACTTTGAAACCCTCTGGCACCTGTATTATTCCATGCTAATATTTTTATCTCCTCGCAGTAAAGAGCAGTTACGTAACACGGTGCCTGATTTTTAGCAGGGGCTACCGTTTTGCTTACGTAGTACATGTTAGTTCTGTTTGGCTGCTATGTGACAGGCTGGTCACATTAATTTCCACGATAATATTCTAAGGTCAGAACAACCTTGTTTTCAGCAGGGTTAAGACTTCCCCTAAAACTGTACAAAATTTAAAAAATATATGTAATTTAAAGTTCATCTTTCTTTTGTGGAAAAAGTCCATGATAGTTTCATAAGAGTCCCAAAGATGTGCATGAGCTGATCATTGTGGGCGACCAAAGTTTTCTTAGGGAGTGTCCCCCCTAAAATTACTAAAGCCAGATAATTACTGTGCCACTGCCTCTTCCCTCAACAGTAACACCAGGACAGAAAGACCGGAAAAACAATACTCATCAGAATCCCCAACATGAAACTACAGTGAACTTGGGCAGAGATCCCAGAGGGTAGCAGGTACTTCTTCCTGGTGGCATCGGTGATGTGTTTAGTACACAACCTAATACACTCGGTAACGCAGGGTCAGACCAAGCCGGCATTTTACTGGCTGAACGCTGAAGCAAGTTGGATGTTGAGTCCGCAATTTAGTTGGAACAAAAATAAATGATCAGTTATTTGTATTTTAACCCTTTCTTTCATAGAAGGCACTGGGCGCATTCTTTATGTGATCCTTTATTCAGTGGCAAAAAGAACTGCAGCCAACAATGTATAGTAGGTATTGAAAGGTTGGCTGAAGTATTAATAGAACAAGAGAAAATATGCAGAGAGTCTCATTATGTGAGGATTCCATCTTTTATCCAAGACAGATGAGAAGACAAAGACTTGCTTCCCCTGGTGATGAACTGGAAAGAGATTAAAAGAGGAACTTTGAAAAGGTAAATGTTTCTTACCTACGGGTTTCGCCATTTATCTAAGGAAAAATGGCCATAGGTGGTAACCTTAGGAGAACTGTGGCTGAGCTGTTCACGGAACCCCAGAGCACTCAGCTAGGTGCTATTTCCCAGCCTCCTTTGCAGTTAATTGTGACCATGTGACTGACCTCTGGCCAATAGAAAGAAGGCAGAGTGATGTGCTCCACCCGGAAGCTGGTCCATAAAGACCTACCTACAACTCTCTCTTTCCCCATCCAAAAGATGTCAAGAATCTGGGTTCCTGACTCACTTTTAAACACCTGATTAGACTTTAAATACCTAAAAAATAAACTTCTGTGTTAAGCTACAGTTTGAAGTTAATTTGTTATAGCCACTCATTTTTAACCTGCCTAACACAGGAACTAAATGGGTTACAGCGAATTCTCATCATTTGTGGGAGGTATGTTTTATAAAGTTGTCATGATCACTGAGTTAACAAACCCTGAACCACTGCTCCTAGGAGGTACACAGGGTTAGGTTCCTGTGGACAATCGTTTACAAGATTTTTGTCACCGCATTAAGTTATAATCTTATTTCATGTGTGTTCCTGCTTCAAGAGACCTTATAGATAGGTATATGCTGTTGTTACATTAACATTCATGCCAATAGCACTGTCCCTCATGATGGAATGAAGCTTATCTCTCACACACATTGTCTCCATCAGGCAAACCTCAGCCTCCCTCCACTCAAGAACACTGGACGGAACCTGGACATTACGCTTGGAGGGCCATTTAAAACAGTGCAACCACCACCAATAAGCACCCACATCTGAACAGCGTGGCACTGAACAGAATGTGTAAAAGACACTAGTTTACAGCATGGGAGCCGCAACAAGGAGGCGGGGGTCGCCGTGTGGGACCTCAGCTGCCATGTCTGCACCGGGGCACGCGAGCTTCCCCCACTTTGCACACGTCCCCCACTGACCGTGAAGGCGCCTGTGAGTACTGACTTCGAGGCGACAAGTACAGCTCAGCGAGTGGGCGATGAGCAAACTATGGAGTCCGTGAACAATGACATCGACTGTGTAATTCTGGAACCCCCTCCGTGTGCTCAGCACTGGATCAGGCGCTAATAATCCACTGTTCTGGTTCATCCTCTCAGCAACTCCATGGCAGACGCCGGCATTTCCATAGGAGAGACCACGCGATGCCTGTAGTTTCTACCAACTTTCAGAAAGCGCACCCGAGCCGAGTTAAAGCCCTAGCCTTTCTGATTCCCAAACCTCATTTCTTGTTTTACTCACTTGGTATCATTCAGGCCATCTTACTTCTCTGCTTCCATTTTGCAAAGATTTAAAAATCGTTTTGAGACCCTCCAGTGACAGGGACCTCATCCAGGTGAGTGTAATTCTGCCACTCACGTCCCATAAACTAAGCATCCTTGCTGCCCACCTCATTTATCCTCAGAAATCTGAGAATGGTTAGGTACCACTGGGCTTTCGTCTTGCTGAAATCCCAGGAATGATTTTTCAAAATGCTGAGATGAAAGGGTATTTTTATATGCGGCACTTGATGGCTGTGAAGGCTCTTTCCTGACAGGGATAGTAATTAAGCAATTAGGGAGGGAAGAGTTCGTTCAAACCTAACAGTCTGGAAGCATGCAGAGTGCCAGGAAGTCGAAGGCTGCACCCCGGCGCTCTCCGATGCCCTGTGCTCTCCCGACACATTGAAAAAATGCTATTTTTCTCCATAATGCATGAAAAAGTGCCTAGCATGAAAACGCCAGATTCTCAAAAGCTTTTCTATTTTCTCCCAATGCATGAAATAACTCTGGAGAATGGCATGGAGACGCAGGTTCAATATTCTTGCACCGTTAGAGGGAGGCGGGGGAAGAGAATGAACAGCACCCCATGTGAGACCCCGAATACAGGGGAGGGGCTGGTCTTCGTGTCATACAGACCTGCCTTCTGCTTCTGCCTCTGGCTTTTCCCAGCTGCATGGCCGGGGCCAAGTCACCGAACTCAGCAGGCCTCATTTTTTATTTTATTTGCAAAATAGCTATAATGCTCGATTCTTAGTTTGTTATCAGAATTAAAATGAAGACCGTATATAAGAAGAACAGAATACAGGTCCTGACACTCGGCAGACGTCATTGGAAGCTGTATTTATCATCCTCCCACCACCGCCCACTCCATGCCCACCACTGCAGTCTGTGAGTAACTGCAGAGAGAAAGAATAACTCACGCTAAGCACTTTTACATACCAGTTGCTCTTCTCACACTCACTTTCCCCCACAAGAGTGGTTTGTCGGATTACAGCTGTTCACAAATAGAACACGGGCCTATTTAAAAATATGTAAGCACCAAGGGTTACTGCCACTATATAGAAGCAGCGTTTGCTGGTTCTAACAGTACATTTCAGTGGGGATCTGAATGTAAGGTTCTCCACGCACTCCTAACTTCCATGTGTTGACACGGCTCCACTGCGTCTCTTGTTTCTTGGCTATGAAGTCAGGGAAAAGAACAGACACTTCTCACCTCGGCACTGGTCAAGGTGGACGCGCCCCAGGAGGCAGCCCGTTTCACACGGTGTGGTCTCAGCAGGGTCCTGCCAAGCTCCATCAGTCATTTATTTATCAAAGGGGCCCTGCAGCCAGGAAATCAGACCCCGTGAGCCCACGCGCATACAAGGCACCAATATCAAGGTTCTCACAAAACATGTGGCAAAGCTGCCAAAGCTTTCAGCAAAATAATAAAGAATATTTTTAAAAACGAAACACCTCTCTACAGGTGATGATGACAATGACTTATGAGTGGCCACTTTCTGTGGCTACTTCCTCATCATTCCAGGATGGAATTCTTTGGGCCCAGCCCCTGTCCTGGGACTTCCCTCCTATAAGATCTCGTGCCCCAGGCACACATCTCCCAGTTAAGACGGTCTTATACAGGCTACATGGAAGTTGCTGTTCTCATTGTCCTCAATGGTACAAAGTCCTGGAAATATTTGCCTTTTGGGGTGGTGGGGGCATGTAGGCCCGAGTAAGCAGATAAACAGGGGACAGGACAGGGGGAAATACT